TTTAGGTTTTTTATCATTACCCTTTTTAATTAAAATTAATTAAATTTTTTATTTAATTAGTTTTTTAGGTTTATTAACTAATTATCATAAACCTTTTTCATAAAAAAATCATCAAAAAAATTATTTTTCCTTCAATTTTAACTTTATGTTTTAGATAGACTGTATAGGTTCGCGAATGTAATAGTGTAGCCTTATTTTCCGTTTTTTTCATTATTATGTATCTGGTTATAGTATGTAATAGCTTCGGCCTTTCTTTTCTGCTTTCACTATTATGTATCTACCCCTAAGCGGTGTAATAGTTTAGGTTTATATTTTTTGTCTTTACTTTTCGCGCCTTTACTATACTTATTGCTTAGTAACTAGGGTTGTATGGCAAGATTAAAACCTGACGATAGAATACTCTAACTCAAAGATAAAGTAACTTAAAACAACACACCTCGCACACTCAGACCTCTATGGTAATCTTCCTTGTTTCTTTAGGAATAAAAACAGTCATGCCCATCGAAAGTGGAGACGCTTTAGCAAAGTCCCTCGATTAAAAGATCATAGTCTCTCGATGACCCTTTCGATGTTGCCTTTCGGTAAATGATTTAGTCCCTTACGAAAAATTTCTAAAGCGTCCTTATGAGTTGCCTTCAATGACTGTACGATGACCCTCGCTTGTCCCTTCACATTCAATGATAGGGCTTCCTACTAATTAATGGTACGAATAGCACTATCTAAAGGAGGAGGAAAAATACAATAACAACCTCGAGTGGGTAGATACTCGTAATTGCTTGCTCATAAAACTCACCAAAAAAAAATTCTCACAAACACTTTCAAAACAACAAATATTTTCAAAACACTTTGTACGCATTCTCGAGGAGAGATACGAGAATCATTACAAAGTTTCACCTTACATCAGCAACTTTTAAAAATATTTTCAAATACGTAAAGCAATTTTAAAAAAAAAGTGAGCTAAGCGATTAAGAGCCCGTAGATAAACTACAGATGAAAAGGGTGCTAACACCTTCCCTTTTCATAACTTACCCCCCGAACTCAAAATCTTCAAGGTCTTTCCTATTATTTTCACCCTTTCCTTATTGGATAAAATAAAAGTCGGTGACGACTCTTGCTATCCGCAACATTTGCGATAAAATGCAAAATAAGTCAGTTCTCCAACCGTATTACAGTGTCGATCTGAAAAATTTATGTGTCGACACATGAAAAACAATGGCTAAAAGCTTTAATAATGCAATACATGTATTGACTCTTAAATTGTATGTGTCGACACATAGATTGTATGTGTCGACCTGAAAATCGTATGTGTCGACACATACTGAAGCTTTTAAGAAAATGCAGAATTTATGTGTCGACACATAGAAATTTCAGGTCGACACATAAGTGTTGTTATTGTGTAAAAAGTGATTTTTCATGATTGGGAACAATTTTGAAGTTGTTTTAAATGACTCCTAAGACCTCTAATGCAATGGGGGTGCCACAAGACATAAGGATGTTGTACACCATACTGAAATGCTTGATTTCCAAGTTTTGACATCATGTAAAACATCTAATAGTGAAATTGCACTCACATAAACTTGCTTGATGTTTGAAATATTCTCGGGTCTTTTCTGCTTCAACATTACAAGTATGTTTTTTGGAGTGACCAAATTTAGTGTCATATCTGACACACATTCCTTCTCTTCCGCCAAGAGGAGACATGCACTTGAATGACCGGATAATTTTTCACTTAAATCATGATTATGTAAACCACTTAGGACATTGAACCTCCAACTATTATTTGACAACTGATATCCACGTAACTTAAATGGACAGTGGCATTTTCTTGAACCAGTATCATCTCTTTTAAATTTCTTGATTGACCGCCTATATATTCCACTTCTTTTGCATGTCAATGTCACAAATACAAGTCGTCTATCTGAACCACTATCAGACCTTCCTATCACAACACCAAAGCCTTGTTTGGTGGCCTCCGTACGAATTGGATGCATCATGACATCTCGAGATTCATATTCTTGTTCATTTGGAAAATGCTTCCGCGCATCGACCACCTTGATAACAATAGGCAGAACAACAATAGGCGGAACACCTTGAGACACAATAGGAGAAACACCTTAGAAAAGAATAGACGAGACACCTTAAGACACATTAAGTGAAACACCTTGAGACACAATAACTTTAAGAATATTATTGGGATGCACCATACATAATATGTAAAAACAGATTAAACTAAGAAATATCCTAGGCAAATAAGAAAACTGAAGTTGCTGGAAATAACTATTACGCAAATCGGAAGTACATTTTCGATTAAGTTCATCTGCAAATCAGAAATATACTTTCGATATTAACGTGATATTTTTCCACAGAAAGAACAGATTAATGTGATTAATTTAGATTGAAAAGAGGAAGCTTTACCTTAAATTTAAATTCATTTAGCTCTTTTTGATATAATGCACCACAAGAATGTTGATTTTGAATAAAAAAATAGGACCGAGAATGTGAAGGTTTTTTGGGAGTATTTTGGTCACCTTTTGAAATGAGCATGATCAATATAGCCTATGGATCTTGCTGTTTTAAGCTATTGGTTTCTCAGAATAAACCGAAAATATATATCTGATTTATAGGTGGTAATTTTTTTGGATTTTCCTACACAAATTTCTCAGATGTTTATCTTCCAATTTCTACTAGAAATATATTCTCGATATATTTCTTACATTAAACAAAGATGTAACAGAATTTTGTCTGACGCCCCGAAAATAAATTTCCGAAAAATATTTTTGATTATTCATAAATTTTTTTCTCTATATAAGATGTCATAAAAAATTCTCTTGTTTTCTCCTCTCTTTATTGTTGGTCTCTCCTTGTATTGGGTTTAGCACCCTTTGATATTTATTAATGCAATTGCTTATCAAAAAATCAATTGAACAAAATGCATCCAAGACCAATAGATATGGAATGTTGGACATCATATCATGAAAACGCTATTTTATGCTAAATTGTAGGTGTCTTCACTTATCTTTTTGGTGAATATCTAACTTTTTAGCGGAAAACAATAGTTGCCTATAAATAAATTGTGCACAATTATCGGTTTTTCTTAACTTGAGAATGTTATGGTAGATAAATATAACTACACTCTCTCTATTGATATTTGAGATTTTTTTTTTATATTTAAGAGTAGTGAAAATCACCGATGAAAATCTAAAAATATTTTTGAAGATGTATTTTCGTAGACACCTTATAAATTTGGGATATTAAATTATTTTAGATATAGATATCTGAAATAACTCAATATTCTAAAAAAAATTCTTATTTTGATTTTATTTTGAAAAAATATTTATTTATAATATAGTTATAATATAATTAAATTGAGTTATTATTAATAAATAATAATTTAAATTTATAATTGAAAACCAAATCTTAAAATAAATTTATTATATGAAACTAAACAATAAATACAATAATTTTTTGATTTTATTTTGATTTTTTTAAAAAGAATATTTATTTATAATATTGTTAAATTGAGTTATTATTAATAAAGAATAATTTAAATTTATAATTGAAAATTAAATATTAAAATAAATTAATTATATGAAATTAAACAATAAATATAATAATTAAATTTCTAATTATAATGATAAAATGTAATTCTATTTCAATTTTTTATTTAAATTTATGAATAATTTTTGATAAAAAACATAAGAAATATTTTTTAATTATAACTTTAAAAGTTAAGTTTAATTTAGATGATTTTTTTAAATTATTATTGTAAAATTGATAATTAATTATTATGTTTAATTAAAAAATTTATCATATTAAATAAATAATTTTATATAAATAAATAATATTTTTTCGTTTCTAATACACTAAAAAATATATAAAATTTATGTAAATAATTGATTAGGTAATATAATTAATATAATTGATACACATTGATTTTAATTGTTGGAATTGATACACTTTGATTTTAATTGCTGTAATATTTTGAATGCGTATCTCTTAAAGATGAAATATTATGTTATTTTAGATATACATATCCGAAAACACCTTTAAAAATCTAAAATTAAATGATTTCCGATATGCATATCCGAAACCCCTTGAAAATGAAATATTGAGTTATTTCGGATATACTATCCGAAAACACCCTTAAAAAAACTGAAATTTAATTTGTTCAGAAGATAAACTTCTGAATCTTATGGATATTTTGAAAAATTCGGCAGAAATCTTGAAAAAGTACACTTGGTGCGGAAAGAAATTCCCTTGACATTTTTAGCTATCCAACCCAAATTACCTTGGATCATACATAAGTGATAACAAACTTTTGATTTGTGAGATTTGAAATGAATTGTGAGAATAAGTTATGGCTGTTAGTTCTTATTTTGTTCTCCAGTGCAATATATTGTGTTGTTGGAGAGCCTCAGGTACCTTGTCTTTTCATTTTTGGAGACTCTTCATCAGATAGTGGAAATAACAATGACCGTGCTACTGGTGCCAAAGCTAATTACAAACCTTATGGAATTGATTTTCCTGATGGTCCAACCCCAAGATTTACCAATGGAAGAACTTCTCTTGACATAATCAGTAATATATCAACTGATCGTGGTTTTAAATTGTAGTCTGCAACTGCAGTTGCAGCCGCAATATTGTTGATGTGGTAGGAAGTGTATCACGACTCGATTTAAAACCATGTGATTGACCGTTATCATCACTTTCATAGTTTGCATGTATCATTCTTGAGTTAATTTATATTGAACCTAAGATTCTAATATGGCATCTGACCATTATATTCCACCGTATGCAAATACCAATGATACAGATATTCAATGTTGCGCATACTTAGGGATTAATGTGTAATCTCCATACTTAGTGTCTTAATACACATGCTAAACAGATCATAGAAGCTTTCATAATAGATACATGGCTAAATGCTTATGAAATTCTATAAAGCCACTACATAGTATCAAAGGGAAGTACTTAAATAAATTCCCTCCTCGTAGTTTTTCTTATATTTTCTTTACGCATACACTATCATAACATTGCCAAGATTCAAATACCAGAAACTCCAAGTCTTTGCCCTTCTCAACCGCGAACGCATCAACTGCACAAGAATATTACGAGTCAAGTGTCCGTAGATGATTGATGATTAGATAAACAACTTAATTAAACGCTTACACAAATTGAAGAGACATCTGGTCCTGCCTGGCATACTGATTATTAGGTTGTAATTCATTCACTTGAAAGTAACTGCGAGAGTCGAATTGTTGCTGAGGTTGCATACATTCAAAGTTTGTGCCTCCATGCAACACATTAACATTATGGTTGTTCCTCTGATCATTTTCTGATATCTACATACTCATAAAAATAAAAATAAAAAAGATTATAGTCATGAATTGAGATGATGACTCAAAACATTTTATATAGGACAGACAGGGAAATAACCACAAACCTTTGCTCTAAGAACCTGATTGCTATTATGCAACTCTATCTCCTGTATATATTATGTACATTTTAGTTATCATATTTTGAAAATTATTATACAAATCTTGTTTGTTATCAAATAATTTATCAAACAACTTTGTTTTGGTGAGACATGCATCTTTTTGAGCCAATGACTAACCAACTAACAATGACAAAGACAAAGGAAAATTGAAGTTGAAAACTTGATTAAAAGAAGAATACAAGGAAAATAATTACCCTCTTCTGCATGTACTCAATTTCAGCAAATAGCATTTCATTCTGATGTAACAGAAACAAAGGAAATTAGTATTTATCAAAAGGATTATATTGCATCAGATATTTATTCTTAAGAATCTTGTGATTGATTATAAGTACCTTCTTGGAGCGAATTCGGCTAATTCCTTTTTCTAGTTTACTCTCAAGGTTCCTCAGTTCCTTACCATTCATATTGCTCAAAGCTTCACCCATCATTTGCCTGCATTATTTAAATATTTTCATCACTAATTTGTAACATTGAAAATGATATGAAACTATAAGAGACTAATTCAACTTACCTGTTATGATTCTGCAAATTACTGATTTGCACTCGCAGTTTCGCAGCTTCTTGCTGATAATACTGAGATTAAACAATTATGTTTAAAGGGGTTAGTTAATTAGTCTATTCATTCATTAATCATTATATTACATATACAATTTCCTTTTTTTACTACACGAATACCTGAGCATTAGTCTCAGAAGATGATTTAGCACCAGAAGTATCAGAACATGCTTTCTTATACCTCTCAATAGAAGCTTTCACACTGAAAAATCATCATAAACAGTATCATTATACAAATCATATTAAACAAAAAGAAACAAAAAAGTAAAATAATAAAACAATCTGAATTTAATCATATAAATCTATGGTCAAATCATCCAGCTGAACCTTAAAACACAATCTTGAAAAACTACACATCAAAAGATCTCATTCCTCAAACTCAAACCTTAACATCACAAAGTTGATAAGATGTTTAATCAACTTGATTGGATATGTAATGTGATAAAAAAGAAAGCAAAAAAACCTTTTTCCATTTTCAGTATATTCAATCTCTGATACCTTAATTTCTTCAAACCACTGATTGGTTGTTCCTGCCACGTTGGGACATGTTCCTAAATATGATTGGTTCAACCATTTCAAGACCCTTTTTAAATAATTTTCTCTATCCTATGAAACAACCATCAAATACACAATGGATAATACTCTTAACTACACTTCATTAACCACCTTGATTCATTCCAAAACTTATTAAAATATTTTTTAAAAAAGTACTTTTTTTCAGTCTGAGTTAAATCATAGCCGTTGAATTGACACTGCTATAGATGTGGCTGTAAGAACAGTTGTACAATTGTTGTTACATGGAAGAAGACAAAAATGATCATAACAATTTCATTGGCTGTCACAAACTGTCGTACGTTGTCTCTGCCTCCATTTACATCATTCATTGAGCTTAGAAAGAAAACCCTTTCCTTTTTCTTCCTCAGTCTATAACTTTCACAGATTTGATCTTTTATGTGAAAGATCTTGTGCAAATTCAAATCTTGTATCCCCAATACAACAAGTGTGAAATTATGATAACTAGTAACTACCCTCTTCATTGCTTCATCTTTTGTTGTTTTCTAACTATGTAAAAGAATGAATTTTTAGTTTTTTTAACCCTAAAGAGATTGATTAATTAAAAGGTACAGAAGATCAACTTTAAGAAAATTCACTTGTGACATGACTAATTAGATTCTTTCAACCAAGACAAGATAGATAGAAATCATAGAGACTAGCAAAGTGAGTCATTTAAGCCCTAACCAGAAGCTAAAATCAGATTTCAAGGTTTTTTCTTTCCTACATCAGTTTAAAAACAAGAAGCTAATAAAACCCTAATTTCTAGGGTTATTGTTTTATCCAATATAAGCACATGGGGTGAAAGTAAGATTTGGGGAAAACCCTTTGTTCAAATTCAGAATTGAAAATCTTGATCTGGGTGTTAGTATTCCTAATCAGATTTTATTGTGATGAATTAAAAAAGAGAACTTTCCTGCATAAATCTATGAGGAACTATAATTTTAGGCTTTACACAAACCCTAATTAACCCTTGCTATTTCTTTACAAAGTTTTAAATCTTATTTTTTTCATTTGATTTAACTCATTGACAAATAGCTTTTTCAACTTGATTTAGGCCTTCCTTAGGAGGAAAAAGAGGAATGAAAAAGTTTAAGAACAAAATGAAGGAATAATAGGGGTTGGATGATCTCACAATCCTTGTTTCAAATCTTCCAAAATTCTTACAAGTAACAACCAGATCTATCTATATAACCAAGAACAATTGTGTCATAGATAAAGAAAAGGGTTAGATAAAGAGAATGGACAAGAAAAGTTCAAAAAAGTTTCATAAAAAAAAAAGGCCAAAATAGAAGAAATAAACATAAGTGAAACTTGGTTGCAGAAAACAGACATACAAAGAGGAAAAATTAACACAAAAATGATTACTCTCTTTTGGTGAAGTTATGTAACCCATCCAAAAGATCTATTAACATGAACTTTAATATATAAGCTCAAATGTTCCCAAAAAGAAGCAACAAAGACATTTCTTGACTCATCAAAAACTGCAAACAAATAGAAAAACAACAACAAGAAAAGAACACAAAAAGGTTGAAAATTTCTAAAGGGATTACCTGTTGTTTGCATATTCATAGAGACGGCCACGAGTGGAGAAGACGATAAGAGCAACTTCTGCATCACAAAGCACAGATAACTCATATGCCTTCTTAAGCAAGCCATTTCTCCTTTTGCAGAAGGTAACTTGGCGATTCGTTGTGTTTTCGATCCTCTTGATCTCAATCTTTCCCCTTCCAATCTTTCTCTGAGGAGAATCTGGCATGGATTCATTTGGAAAACTCATAGTTGCAAGCTGAATCAAACAAAACATCATCAACACACACTTTGCTTCACACAAACCAAAAGTCTATAGATATTAACTTTGTTAAGAAGAATCATAAAAAGCAAAAAAGATTAAAACTTTGAACAACCCTTCTTCACCTTTTAAATCATAGGCTTTTTAGCTACAGATATTTTCATAGTTTTCATGTGAAAAAGGTTTGATTTTCCTACACTTAAAAAAGGGTAACATTGACAAAGGATTTGAAACTAATGTTTCATTCTTTTGTTGAGTAACACTAACCTTATTAAGAACAATTACACACAGATTGTAATCTTTGAAGTGGTATATAAATTTTCTCTCTTTTTTCCAACTTTGTAAAACAAAGTGATATAAGAAAAAGAAAGCAAAGAAATGGTATTTATAAAGTGAAAAACCACCTTTTTTCTTCTATGATGGTTTTGGTTTATTTATGCATCTAAGACATCATACACTCAACTTCATATCTCTATAATATATTTTATTATCTTTTAATATTTTTCTTCCCTCTCTATCCTCATTGTTTTAGTGGTGTGTGATTGAAGAGAATCAAAATGGAAGGACAAAGATGGAATAAAACTTTAGAGTTAACCAAAAATGAATTATGATGAGTGAATGAAGTAGGGCACAAGAGAGAGGGGTCAGAAAAGGGTTATTAATGGGGTGAAAAGGACATTGAGCTAAGTTGCAAAACATACCGCAAGTGGTATTTCATAGTATATAATGCATATCAACCTCTTTACCTTTTGTGTAGATGAGAATATTTTGTTTTTGAGTTAATGCATAAATGCTAATTAAAACTAATGAACAACATCTTGTGTGTAAATTTGCTATTTCTTCTTCACTTTAAAGTTTTAAGTAAAAACCAAACCTTAAGCTTATTGTATGAAAATAGAAGTTAGAATGGACTAGAGAATTTTGAACTTGTTTTATTGGAAAATGTCTCATCTTGATTAATTTGAGATCATAACAATAAAATAATAAAATAAAACTAGAGAGAGATGGGGCAGCTGAAGATACACAAGCAACAATGTTGTTACAGTCTTCATACTTACAAACAGATAGATCCACGGAAAAAATCTAAATCGAAACTAGAATATCTCTTTTTTTTTTTTTTTAAGACCTCTTTGAATACTAAAAAATGATAGAGATTTAGATAACACAAGCTCTAATCTAAGGTATCCATCTGACATCAAAGTAGAACTCTTCATCATATAATCAAGGAACCTGTAACTAACCAAATCATAAGCTTTCGCAAAGACCATCTTAAAAACTAAACAATCCTTTCTAAATTTCTAAGTAAGGTCTAAAACCTCACTCACCACATCGACATCGTCCACTAAATGCATACATTTACTGAAAGGTAATTGATTTGAATAATAAAGTGACTCAATAAAATTAACCAATCTACCAGCTAGCATACTTGAAACCATTTTGTATTAGCTTTAGAGGTGAGTCCACTTTTGAGATCATTATAATAAAAGAGGAGGATAATTTTAGAGAATTTCTTTCTACGTTCTAGTGCATTTTTTCAGGACTTCTAGTGAAATTTTCAAAATACTTCTAGAAATCGGAAGTATATTTTCAAACGGATCATCAACGTGAAATATTAAATTTATTTCGGATATACATATACGAAATTATCATATTTGACAAAACAGGTGATTTCACTTGTGCATCTCCAAATTTACCCCATAATCTATATCTTCGGAGATGCACATCCGAAGTCATTATGTTATTTTCAAAACAACGAACAAAATACTCATATATCCATTTCTACTCCAAACAATAAAACTTCTCATTTTCACTCCAAACCCTTAATTTCTAAACTTGAAACACTAATTCATTTCTATTCATCTCCACATTTCAACTCTTTTCATGTTATTCCAAGTCATCCCAAAGCTTCAAGTTTGTGTAAGTTTTCTCCATTTCTATTTGTTTTACTATACAATGTTATAATAGTTTATTAGGTTAGTTAGAATCAACGACATTGTGTATATTGCTGTTAGGATAGTTAAATTTAGGTGATTGAGTGACAAAAAATTATATTTGGATGATCTTGGGCAAGAAGAATTTGTTTGTTGAAAATGGATTCGCAGGTGGTTTCGGAAGTGCACATCTGAAATCCCTCTGGACCAATTTCGGATGTGCACATCCGATTTCTTGCCTGAGTTGTTTTTTTTTTTAAATTAATAATTTAAATTAATTTTTCAAGATTATGGCGGACAACCAGGACGGGAACAATCGTTTGAGACAAGGAAGGCCAAGTCAGACTGTCTTTGCTCGGAGAGAGAGAGAGAGAGAGAGAGAGAGAGAGAGAGAGAGAGAGAGAGAGAGAGAGAGAGAGAGAGAGAGAGATAGATAGATAGATAGATAGATAGATAGATAGATAGATAGATAGATAGATAGATAGATAGATAGATAGATAGATAGAGAGAGAGAGAGAGAGAGTTGCGCGGCAGATTATCAGGCCTCGGGGATGGGGTCGGGTACAAAGAGAGGAATTGTCTAGAGATTCTTTTTCTGCTCTGAGGAGTCGTCTGTCTCAGACATTTATCTCTCGTGCGCATGAGCAGATATCCGATGAGGAGGTTCCCGATGAGGAGGTTCTCGATGAGCATTCTGAGGTACCCGATCATGTTGAGGTACCCAGAGAGGAGGTCGACTATCCAAGAGGGCCTTATGACACCTCCCTATTGATCTATTTAATGATCGTGCCGCTCGACATGTTTGGGATGAAGAGATATTTTTTGGTTACATTTTTTCATTATATAGGTTTAATCACAAATTTATAATTAACGGTTATTATTTTTTTTTTATTTCAGGAAGGTTGTCAATTAAGTCTATGAATCACTCGTGGAAAATATTTGAGTTGTTTATACCTGCGATTGATTGGTTCCATCAGGACGTTGTTGGATCCGGACTTTCCGGACTATGCTGCACTGGTTATAGTACTATAAGTCACGGAATGTATGGTGCATTTGCTGAGAGGTGCCACAGGGAGACGTCGTCTTTCACTTTCCTGTTAGGGAGATGACGATCACACTTGATGATTTTGCTTGTTTGCTTCATTTACCTATCAGAGGGAGGTTACTTAACCACAGCAAGATAATACAAGCTGAGGCGATCGAATGGATGATTGAGTATCTGGGTGATGATCTATATAGGGCAGCTGAGGACTGCAGAAGCACAAATGGGACGCATAAAAAATTCACGCACCTGAAGGTTCTATATGAAGAGCACCTTGTTGCAGCAGCAGTGTCCGAGGATGAGGGTGATGAGGTTTTTTTCAAGTACCACCAAGATTGTGCTTTACGATGTTACTCTGTTTATGGTTGACACACACCTCTTTATGGACAAAAGTTCCTACTATATAGATGTGACATACCTATAATATTTTATGGATCTGAGTACTGTTCATGGGTGGAACTAGGGAGTCGCCACTTTGGCATACCTGTACCAGAAGCTGAATGAAGCTTCAAGGTGAAGGGTGAGACAGCTCACTAGTTCTTGCACACTCCTCACAGTATCTTTCATTTCAACTTTTACCGTTAATTTGTTTTTTATAATTTGTACTTACATATTCTATGCTTTCTGTTTCATAGATGGATAATCTCTCACTTCCACCGCATTTATGGTTTCGAGCATGCTCAGGATTATATTAACGACATGCAGAGGGCTGCAAAGTATGTCCTCCACAGAGGGAACCATAAGGTGTCGCCTTACTGGGTGTATCTTGAACGTACTAATCATGATGACATCAAATGGATGCCATTTAACGATTACAGGGATATTGTCCCATTCGATTCCATCTCATTATACTCTGGGTGGCTAGCATATGGATTGAATCTTATGGTCAGGTATCTTCCAAATAGGTGTATCCAGCAGTTTGGATATGTGTAGATGATACCGATATCTCCTTTTCAAGTTGCTCCTGACACCAATGTCTGGCGGGATCTCAATGCCATCTTCCAGAATTGGGAGAATCATTTGGTGCCACAGGAGTATCGGATGATGCCGGCATCTGAGAGGTGGAATTATGTAGAGGGTTACGTGACATGGTTCTTTAACGTGTCATACCCTATTATGACACCAGATGGTCCTGGACGATCACCTAGGCCACTGATTTTATGTCGGTCTGTCAGCGGATACACCTACTTGAATATGAGGCATTGGATTCTGGTATCATCGAGAGGGGTGGTCCTAAGGCAGTTGTCATAGATGGGAGGATGGTTAAGGAGACATCTAGTGCGGTGCCGTACAGTCGACAGAGGAGGTCATAGGAGGTGAGGATCAGGCATATGTAGTAGCAATAGCCCATATTATGTATTATATTTTGTAATTGATGTAATATTTTTATATTATGCACTTTCCGAACAAATTATGTACTAAATTATGTATTCATATGTTTGAACATCTAATATAATCGTTATGTTAGAAATGTTATGTTCATTTCATATTTTCGAAATAATTTGTCCGTTTATATGGTATGGGTAACTATGTTGTTGTTAACGAAAATGACACAAACAGAGAAAGTTTCAGAGACTCACTTCTGAAATCCCCTCAAGAATGTTTCAGATGTGCATATCCGAAACTACCTCAAGAATTTCAAATCCAATGTTTATGTTATAAAACCTGGGGAAATGGTGTCTTCGAAGATGCACATCTGAAACATGTTGATAGGTGCGTTCGGAAGTGCATCTCCGAAGGGTATTTTCGGGTTTTCAAGGGTGATTTTCACCACTACTAGGTGTAAAGAGAAATTTTTTAATTTTAAGGGAACCAAATTGTTCAGCAAGAACATCAATTATATAACTCTTCTGATGTTAAGTCCCCCTTATCCTTGCCTTCGACGTCCTTTTTATACTTGTTCTTCCCCACTTGTTCTAAAAAAAATGACCTTAAATATCATTAATCACCTAACATCCACTCATCACCATTTATTCTACCCATAAATAGTATTTAGTGGACTAGGAAAATACAAT